GCACTGACTCAGCCATGCCCCCACAGTGGGTGGCCACAGCCTGGGGTGGGACGGCCCAAAGGTAGAGGCAGTATGGACTGGCAAGCTTTCAAAGAGGCCACAAACTAAATAAATAGCCATCAGCCTATTTCAGTGGCTGCTATGCACATCCCATGGATGGTCCTAATAATGGGCTTATCTCACTGATGAGGCAAATGGCATCTCCCAGGCATGTAGTGAAGCAGGGCCGAGCCAAGGAGTCGTGCCAGGAGCAACAAGGGACATGGCTGCAGCATTGCCAGAGATCCACCTGGTAGCCAGGGCCAGAGGCCAGATCACAGCAGTGGCACAGCTTGGTGTACAGGTGTGAGTGTCCTGACTTGAGCAGGGGTGCATGTGTGGGGGTCAGTTTACGGCCCCAGGTGCCCTCAGGGTCCTGACACAAGGTATCTCTGTGTACCAGAAATATTTACACTGCTGCAAAGTGTGGAAAAGCAATGTACATCACCTAATGCTGGAAAGATGCGGGAGATGATAAATTCTCTTTACCAGGCTCCAGTGCTGGAAAAAGGTCCCAAGTCCTCCCAGGAGAGGAAAATGGCTTGTGGCTGACTCAGCTCCTGCCTGACCGCTCCAGTAAATGTCCCTTCTGGGGACCTCCCAGCTCTCTGGGCAGGGATTTAGGGGGCTGAAATTCCTTCAAATGCTGGGCCCTGCCACCTTGGTTCTCCAGCCCTGTGGAGACAGGACTGACTTTTTGTGACCCCTTCTCCCTGCACTGACTCAGCCATGCCCCCACAGTGGGTGGCCACAGCCTGGGGTGGGACGGCCCAAAGGTAGAGGCAGTATGGACTGGCAAGCTTTCAAAGAGGCCACAAACTAAATAAATAGCCATCAGCCTATTTCAGTGGCTGCTATATTTAGCTCAAGGAACATTTATTTATTGGCTTTTGGCAGCCGTTCTGAGTCAATAAAAGTCCAAGCGCTGGAAAAAGGACGTTTCTCGTTTCTCATTGCAGTAATGGTTTCTGCTGTGCAAACCACAAGCTGGAAGAGAGGCAGCCTCAGCACTGGGGCAGGGGGAGGAAGCTGTGCCAGGTGCCCACTCATGGGTGCCTCTGCCAGGGGACAGAGCCCCTGCATACTTGTAGCCCCAGCTAAGAGCAGACTCTCCACAGCATCATCTGGGTCCCTGCCCACATGGGCACTACTGCTGATGACTCAATGGCCCGGCGGTTCTCTGGCCCAGAGGAAATTTCTCTCTAGAACATGAGGGGATTTAGCTGTGCCCAGGGAAGCAGTGACATGAGATGTCAGCCCTGAGGACTCTGCTGCAGCATATTTGCTAGGGCCAGTAGGTTCAGAAAAAAAAAGCCAGGAGAAGGTGAATGGGGAGGGAGATGGGAGCAATGCTCACATTTCTCTATTAAATAATTTTCTCTTTCCACATCATGCACAGCAACGAGTGGTTGACAGAAGAGGTCATGCAAACAGCCCCTCTGAAGCCACTAGTCCTGTCAGCTGAGCAGGAGGTCGAAGCTTCACACTGGGCAGTGTAATTTCTAGTGCAGCAGCAGATGATGGGAGTAGTTTTGAGAGGCTGTACAAAAGACTCAGCAATTGCAGCTGGACGAGGGGAGTGGATTTATAAAAGAATAAGGACTTTAGTTCAGCCTGTGGAAAACAGCCATAGGGGTGGTTGTCTCTTCTGGTTTAAGTCAATAAGTGCTGAAGCTTTCTGGAGCCAGAGCTGCAGGGAGCTTGCTCATGCCTTCTTCTCCCTCCAAAGCAAACCTGCTGCAGGGGTGAGTGGGGAAATGCTTTTACCAGCCTCTGCTTGAGCAAAGCCCAGCTGAAATGGGGCTGCTGTTTGGCACTGGGGGCTGCCCCTCAAGCACAGCACAACTATTGCTGTAAGGAAGAGGTGACAGCCCAGTTGGCCATGGGGGGACCAGGGCAATGTTTATAGGGTTGAGCTGTAGTGTGCAGCAAGCATGTGGCTACCCTGTCATGAGGAAGGTGGAAGCAGAGCCAGTCCTTTCCACTGGAAAGGAGCTGCTCAGGTGCCTGCCTACAGCTTTAGAGCTGTGAATCACACACCAGACCATCAGAAACCCCTAAAGAGGCTGTTTACAGTCTGTGGTCCCATGAATGCCCAGATTATTTTTTATCCCACTACTCCTTCAGCCATGAGTCTTATTTTTTCTTTAAATTAGTTCAGCTGCAGGGCCCTATACATAGATGTGGGTCTGGCTGTGTATCCAGGTCTGGCTGTGTGTCCAGCTCCCCACTGGCTCTGGTCCCCACTGATGTAGCCAAAGATCCATCACCTTCCCCAAACCCCCAAGAAGGACCCTCCAGCCCCACCTGAGAAGGACTATCCCTCAAAAATCAAGGCCGACACCAGCTGTTAAAACACCTATTTGGGTATTTATTACAACACATTGTTCCAAAATACAAAAGAAAGGAAAAGAAAGTAGAGGATAGAAAAGCACTGCTGTTTACAGCCTCTGGTAATAAATAAATTAAGACGAGGCAGGGGCAGGGTGTCTCCCCGGGTCTGACACTGGACAAGGAAAGGAGCATGATGGGGCTGTTGGCCAGAGCTTCTCTTCCCTGCTCAGGAGTCCCCAGGTATGCCAGGGTGGGTGCAGACCCTGTCCCTGTGTTGTGCTTGCTGAGAAAGGGCCTGATCCTGCAGGAACGGGGGTGGGAGCTGAGGAGGCTGAGTCCCAGAATGGTAGGGACCTACCTGCTCCCTCCCTGTCCACGGCTGCCCCAAAGGCAGGTGAGGTAGGAAGGGTGACACCAGACTGAGACCCCAATGGGAGTCTGCCAGGGTCCCCCAAGAGAGGGGAAAGACCTAAGCTCTCTGCTCTCCGGTGCAGCCTCAGAGCAACCTCAGAAATTAGTTCAGCACAGCATGATGAGAAGGACCCCAGCCCATGGCAAAGCAAAGTCACGACAGAGACAAGAGACAATGCTCAGGCTGCTTGGAGAAGTACAGTGTTAAACTCTGAAAATTAAAATGACTCTTCATGGGGCTGGCACAGTACAGAGAGTGTTTCGCACTGTGGTGGAGACAGGGTTCCTCTTGTGTTCCCCTAGTGTCTCCTCCTTCACATTACAGTCATCTGGAAACCTCCAGGTTGTACAAGGAGTCCAGGTGACAGGTATGAAAACTCTCTGCTTACAACACCCTGATTTATCAGTGCTGGATACAGATGGTACCTAGTCCCATATAGGGAGCCCCTTTCTGACTCACTCCAGGTACTGGAGGCTGCTCACATCTCTCCTTGCTGCCCTGCTACTGAGCTTGCTCTAACACAAGCCACATGTCTTCTCCAGGCTGTGCTGACCCTGGGCAGGGGGGAGCTCATTGGCATGAGGAGGACACTCACGGCAAGAAAGCCCAGGGCTCCTGGCTAAAATGGGGCATCAGTGCATGGGCTTGGCTGAGAGGGGAGAGCTTTGCAAACCAGCTGTGAAGGCAGAGCAAGAACCCCTGGGGGCAAAGATACAACCTGTAGGTGCAGCCGGCAGAAGAAGGTAAGAGGACCACAATCTGGAGGGAGCTGACTCCATGAGCTAGATGTCTGGCCAACACTCCTTAAAGCTGTTACAAAAGCTTTAAGTTTTTGCCATTTAATCCTCCATTCTTGGTGCCAGTTGGTTCCTCCATCTTACAGACATGAATAGACAACTGCTCAGGAGAGAGGAGCCTCAGGAAAGGAAGAGTTAAGAGGATGGATCTGCCCCAAAGTGTCTTTTTACCCCTAGGAAACACAACCCTCCAGCTTCTCTGCCAAAGGTTTGCCTCCTGGGGTTTGGGACAGCTGGGAGCTGTGCCTAGTGCAGCCCCAGCCAGGCTGTGGGGAGCAGAGAGAAGGTGTGATGGGGCCTTGCATTTATTCACAACAAAGAAACAAAGAGCAACGTACAAAGAGTAAGAAGCAAAGAAGTACAGAATCATAACCATAATAATCATAATAATAATCATAAATACTCAAATCTATCATTCATAGATTGCAATGACGACACTGATAGCTTATTATCATTACTGTTAAGGATGGGAGGGGGAAGGGGACAGCAGGAGGGGGCTCTGGGGGACATAATTTCCTAAGGGTCAAATGTAATGGGGGATGGACATCCAAAGAAACAAGCAGACAAAGGGACAGGCAGGCAGCAGGGGCTGGGGACACTGCTGCCAAGGCCAGGGATGAGCCTGCTCCAACCCAAGCTTCTGGCACAGTGTTGCCAACCTGATCACTTTTCCTCCTGCCAGTTTGGCTCAGCCCCCTGAAAGGTGGCCAGGAAGGAGATGGCCAGGAGTTTCAGCCCCAGGGACAGGCAGGGGCTGGAGAGAAGGGTGCCATGCCCCTTCTAGTCTGACAGAAAGCTGTGGTTGGCTCCATTCTTTGTGTGGTGGAAAGCTCAGCCATTGCCACTTCTGTGACCATCTGTCACCTTTCGCTGACCATTGGGCACTAAACAACTTTGTCAGTTCCTCCCTTGAAAGGAGAGACCTCTCCTCTCCACTGCTCACATTTCTGCCACTGTGAGTCCCTGCTAATAAAAGTATCCTTATGAGATTGGCATGGAAAGATGATTTTTGGTTCCAGTGAAGCTTTCAGTGGGTCATCTGGTTGTGACAGCCCATAAAGAGACTTGGCCAACAGATGATGAGGAGGACTACCAGCTGGTATATCCATCCTCTTGATAACTCACAGTTCTCTGATTCATGGAGAAAGTGATCTGTTGGACAGAGTCAGATTTAAAAAAACCCAAACATTAAAGTTAATTGCAAGCTGCAAGCTTTGCATCAGCAGTGGCAGGAGACAGGCAGGGTTGCTCCATCAAGGCGTTTTTCTGGAGTAACCTTAAAATATTGCACATGAGAGGGCTTCTAGTGCACATGCCCAACGTAAAAGGGAAGGATGAATGCAAAGTAAGGCTGCAGAGAATGTCTCTTGGCAGTTATGTTCTACTAATCTTAAAATCTATTTCTCTTTGCTCTGGTTTCAGCGGAGAGAGGAGTCTGTAGTAAAAGCCTCAAACATGGCTGTAGAGCATCTAGGGGATGGCAGAATGGAGATGACAAAAAGCAAACCATGTATCTGCCTCTTTGTAGACATTAAGAATCCCAGTTACAACTCTCCCTCCTGACTTATTCCGGCTGCTTTTTTCCACTCATGATACATCATGTTAGCTAATGGGATGAGTTACATGAGCGCTCACTAGCACCTCGTCTAATCTCCCCACCTGGCTGTGCTGATCTGTTGCACTCTTTTTATTAAATCCCTCTGGATGTCATCTAGTCCCTTTTCCACTACATAAAGCTACACCTAGCCAGCTCCTGGCAGCAACCTGCCTGACCTGAGCTTGGTCGAGCTGTGCTGGCACCAAGCCTGGAGGATTACGGGACGGGCAGGAACTGAGCAATGCAGAACAGAGATCAGTAGGTGATGTCCCCTGGCATGCCTGGGAAGAGATGCCTCGACCAAGGGCAGGAGGAGGGAAATGGGGACCAAGTGCTGCTTGGGCAAGAGGCAGGCAACACTAACCCTGGGTTTGGAGAGCTTACTGGAGGGAGGATGAAGCCATATTCCCTCCCTCTTTGGACTTGACGTAGATGCTCACATGGGAGACCCAGTTGCAAGTGCACCTTCTGAGTAGCTCACGTGAGCCTGGCTCACGGGATGGACCCAAATGCTTATTGAACTCCAAAAAGGGAACTTAGAAGCTAGTGTCATCATCCTTTCGTGGCCAGAAGAGAGAAATGCTCAGGTTGGCAATACTGAGCTGGTTTTAGGTGGTTGCTGATGGGTGGCAGTGGGCTTGTGAGGGATGACTGTGAGATCTCTCACCCTCACCAAAAGCGATCTGGGCAGACAGGTAGGTGGTCCCTGTCTCTCCAGCCACCCATGTTCCTCCCTGCCACACCCTGGGGAACTAGGCAGAAGCACATGGAGGTCCCCAGCATCTCACCAAATGGCCCCATGTAAAAGAAAAACTAAAGCTAGCCCAAAGAGAGCAAGGAGACTCTAGAGAGACTTGCCTCAACTGCAGACACAGAGGTGGTTGGGGAAGCAACCAGGTCAAGCGAGCAGCTCCTCCTTGAATGACTGCAGCCCCTCACACCTCTGCTTTGTGTTCACTTTTAAACCTGAGATCATTTGGTTTTGTCACATGTAGTTTGATTTAAATATAGAAACAAACAAGAGGAGGAACAAGGGGAAAAGGAGAGAAACTGAGTGGACCCAGAAAAAGAAAAAAACCCATCACTTCAAGGATGACACAGGACAACAGTCATGCACGAATGGAGACCCCTGAGGTATTAGCTTTGTAGACTAGCGCAAGACAAGGGAGAAAGCAAAGACAGCCACAGGGAGATGTGCTTTGCAGCAGAGGCAGTTCAGTGCCTTCAGCTCCAGAAAGCAGCTTCTCAGCAAGCCCGACATGGGTGTATGGGGCAAGAGCTGGGACACCCACCAGGACAGGAGGAAGCAGCCACACATCTCTGAAAATAAGTCTGTTGTGCCCCCTGTGTGCTTGCAGAGCTTTGTGTCCAGCTAGCTTATCACCTGCTGGAAGGAGGGGAGGCAGCCCAGAGGGGAACAGGGCCAGAGGAGTCCTTGCACTTGTGAACACGTTCCTTGTGATTTTCTTGGATGTGAAGGATGGAGAAAGCCTGAAAAACCACTGCCCCCAAAGGGAAAATGGTGCACATACCTCGTAAACAAGGTGGCTGAGGTGAGGAGGGCACCAAGGGGCTCGGGTGGGCAGGCAAGACACCCCTGGCAAGAAATTTGAGTACCATCAGTCTGCCCTTCCTGCCATTGCTGCAGCAGCCACTGACACCTTCCCGTGCACCCAGGGTGACGCCCAGCACCTTTCCCTCCACTTCTGATGACTCTCTCCTTGCCCTCTCCAGCAAGGATGGGCAGCCCAGGGGAAGGAAGAGTGGCACAGCTGGAATGGGGTGACAGCCAGGTTGGGGACAATGGCTGGGATGGGATGATGGCCAGGATGGGGGTGATGGCTGCAATGGGGATGAGGAGAAGCAAACAGAGACTAAGGGGTGAAGAAGTGGCAGCAGCTTCCAGAAGAGAGTTTTCTGGCTCAGTTTGTGTTGTAAGAAGGTTTTATGGTTTCCTCATTTGCTTGTTCATTTCTAGAACAAGTGCCCAGAAGAGTCTCCTGTCCCCTTGTTGCCATGCTTGGAGGGAAAGGGGGGAAAATCTTTGTCGTCAACATCAGCTATAGAAGGAGCCACAGGCCTCAGATATTGCTTAGAAACTCGTATTTCAGATTTAAATACCATACACAGTAAAAATAGAGCTGAAAGTACCGCCCCACATTGTCTGCAAATCATTGCCAGAATGAACAGCTTCAATAAATTAAAAACAACAAAAAAATTGAAATATTATTTACGTCTCAATAAAAATCGCAGTAAAACCATTTACCTTTTCCTTTGTGTGTGTGTTTTCATTTTTTTCTTTATATTATATATAATATATATTTATATATGTATAGGGCTGCTCCAGTGCAGCATTTTTAGGATACTTAGCCAGAGAAACACAGGGAAGCATGCTTAGTGCACCAGGATGCAGGAAAAGGGTGGCCATGGTCGCCCTCACAGGCACCGTCCCCTGTCCCCACAGCCAAAATCGCAACCCCTGCCCCTTCCTGTTGGAATTCTATGACCAAATGCTGAGCGCAAGTCTCCCAGGACCTGGGAGCCCTGGGGACGTGGGGAGGGACCAGGGCAGGTGCAGGAGGGACACTAAGCATCCGCCACTATGTTTCCCGACTCTGGAAAAAAAAAAACTATCTGCCTTCTCTTCGGTTTCA